TAAGGATCGGAATCAATGTAAATTTAATAAAAGTGAATTAAATTCAACCAGGTTTGTTTACAACTTGGAATTCTCTCTAGTTCCTTATTGCTTTTTTTCTACCTTTATTATTATGTCCTTCTGTTAGTTGTTATAAACAATGTGTAGGTAGTTGAAGCAGTTCTCATGATGAGTCACAGTATGCTGCCTTGGTTTGTTTTTTATCAAATCTTTTGGGCCAATCTGGTTTTGTAATAATTGAAGCAGAGACTGCATACTTTTTTAATATTTAAATTGCTTGTATTTTCAGGCATTAACAGCTAAAGTTTGACTTTCTGTATATTAGAAAGATAAAATTTAGCAAATGTTATAGAAATGTAAGCAATTACTCATGAACACCTCTACTTTTGCCTCATACCTACTCTCATTCACTTGAACGACAACCCTGAGGCCTGAAGTGGAAAATTGGGCAGAAGCTACCCATATATCTGAGAAAATTGCCTAGAAATCTGTCCAACTTTACCCGCTAAATATGTCATTTCCTATTTCTTCATTAAAAAATAAGAAAAATTGCCTTTTTTCACCAGTGATTTCCAAAATATACTTGTGAAAAAATCATTTGCGATTTGTAGAGCTATTTTAGGAAAATTTTGCAGTTTTGCCTGATATTCTAACTAATAGGATTACAAACTAAAAAAAATTGGCAAACGTCACCTGTGAATTGGAGTATTTGGACTTTTAGAAATGCCTGTAAATTTAGAATTTGGTATTGTTAAAGCCCTTTCTTTAAGCTCTCTCACTCTCAGTTTCTCATGCATTGTTAAAGCCCTTCCTTAATTTCCTCAGTTAAAAATGAAGAAAACAGCCTGATTTCACTTGCAATTTCCAAAAATCACTATTGAAAACAGGAATATTTGAATATTTAAAACCTGCATATTCCAGGGTGCAAGCAGCATTGCCAATATATGGATTTTTAGCCCAAAGCGTTGCCAGCCATTTTCAAGATCCATTGCCGGTTAATTTTCAATAAGAAAATACTGCTAACAACTTTGATAGTAGGCTAGTACTGTCAAACGGGGTAAAAAGAGACAGTTTTGAGCGTTTTTTGTAAATAACTTCTTACCAGGAAACATTTCGCAAACAAATTTAGGCTCATTTTATACCATGGTGCAGAGGGAGAGGGTGGATGCAGGATCATGCAGCGTCGCAATATATGGGTTGTTAAGCCCTAAGCGTCGCCGGGTAATTTTAAAATGCGAATTTTTAATGAAAAGCCATTTACGCTGAGTAATGAAAAACTATTTACAAGCCACAAACTTATTTACAAGGTTGCATGCATGTGTTACCCCAAATAACTAATTTTGCCCTAAAAACAGTCCAATTGTACAGCAAGTGTCAACTGAACATGTGATAATGCAGTCTGATCACTCTAATGTGACCGCAGTCCGCAACTACGTAATCGTAAACTTGATGTTTACATTTTTTTGGTGAGAACTCATTGCAACTGATTTCCGGACAAGCTTCACTGCATACTGATCAATCCAACATACCAGAAACCTTACTTTTTTTAAATAGTTGGCCAAAGACTGACAAATATATTAAATGAAAGAATTTAAATCTAAATGTGTCGGCAAGATCTTCTGAAGGCATAAATTTTGCTACTGAAGCGTCGCCAAAGATCTTGCAATATTCATCCGCTCTCTGCACAGTGGATTTCATAGCTCTTTGCGAGGGCTATCGAATGGCATCTTAAAAAAAATTTCCTATGCTATTTGTAAGGTGCTAGACGCAATATGAAAGGCTCCTGAATTTATCTGGAAACGGGGTAAAAAGGGACACTTGAAATAAAACTCAATTTTAAACGCTTGAAGTGTGCAGAGTGTACTCGCATTACCAGCTGTACTCCAAAGTCCTCCTCTTCCTTTTAGATGTAATGTAATGACGAGGAGCTTTGGAGATTTGCAATAATTTCAAAGTAATTTCTAAAATGCAATAATTTCAATCCAAATGTGTTGGCAAGATCTTCTGAAGGCCGCAGAAGATGTAAATTTTGCTGCTGATGTGTCACCAATAATCTTTTGATATTCACCCACTTTCTGCACCCTGGTGCATAGGAAAATTCAGTCTAATATTCCAGGTTGGTGTTCTGGGTTCAGATGGGATCATGGGACTTTTACTACTTATTAGTGAAATTTTGCAGCTCCAAAGTGACAAATTTTCAATAAGCTGGTTTACAATTTGAACTTTTGTAGCCCAATTGCATACTTATATCAACAATAGGATGGGTAATTTATCTAGAACAGTGTTTCCCAAACTTTTTCAGGCTTGTGCCCCCTTTGGCTCCCTACTGAATTTCCAGCGCCCCCCACAGACACATATAAAATCATGCGCCTCTTTCTATAAAATTTGGTACACTGCAATTTTAAAAGATAAAGGTTAAACACAACTGTGTATTTCACAAATAGAACCCCTTTTAGTGAACCAATATGTTTTTCAGCCATTTTAACTGTTTCAGCACTAGAAACCTAGGATGTCTTGGGCTAATTTGCGGCCGGACTCGTGGCCGGTCTCACGACCAATCTCCAAATTCAATTATCAAGTAATATCACCCAAACTAATGAACGCAGCTCAATAAAACTTGTAACATGTATTCATCAGAACTTGACGGTGATGTTCAGCTTGCAAAAAATTTTAAATATCACCTTTATTCGTGAGTTATATTGCGATACAGGCCAAAATTCGCAGTGATCAAAGAATTTTTTCCAAACTACCAAACAGATTTGAACGAAATTTTGAATATACATTCCTAACTACCAAATGGTGTTTTTTAGATTGAAAAATATTTGATTATACCGTCGTTTGCAAGATTTTTTCCATTTCACCATCATTCTTGATTTCACACTTCCATATTCGCTTTCGTTTGAAAGTTATACAGATATAGGAGGAATGACCGGCTTTTCTACTGGCTGGTTCAAACGAGAGCCGTTTACGTATAGCCGTATAACTAGCAAACGAAGGCAAAACAAAAAAATTGTAACGAGCTAAACATCACCGTTGCTGAGGTTAGGTATTAAAATACTAAATTTTGTTTAAATCTGTTCATTAGTTTGGAAGAAATTTCTTGATTACTGCGAAGTTAAGCACGTATTGCTTAATGAAATGAAACTCGCGAACGAGGGCACAAGCAAAAAAATTTTCACAAGCTAAACATAACCGTTCGGTACTTAGGACTGTAAATTCGAAATTTTGTTAGATTCTGTTCAGTAGTTTGGAAGAAATTCCTTGTTCACTGTGAATTTTGGCCCGTATTGCCATATAAGTATGGCAAAAACAATTGAAGGCAAAATTCAAATATTTTTTACAAGCTTTACATACCATATCATTAGGTCCTAATGAATACGTGTACCAAGTTTCATTGAGTTAAGTTCATTAGTTTGAGAGATATTCCTTGATCATTGAATTTGGAAATTGGTCAGGCCGGCCGCGAGTCCGGCCATTAATTTGTCGGAGACGTAAACCCAGGAGAGGTTAAAAATATATAACTCAGTACTCACTGCAGTGAGTGACAGAGAACGCATTTTCTTGTCAAAAAACGTGACGTCACGGACGGACAGATGAACGGACGGACATGGTGAGCACAATAGTGTATTTTTTTCCATAAGGAGAGGTTAAAAAAAGGAGAGGTTTTTTTCCATAAGGAGAGATTTTCCCAGGAGAGGTTAAGAAACAGATCTGGTTGGAAAAAACCATCGCTGGGAGTCATGTGCTGCACGTGTTGCGTATAAATCGTCAAACAAATGTTCAAACTTCTGACTTCGACTTCGGACTATCGACCCCCTATCACCCTCTTCTTCTTTACCGCCCCCCAAAACCTTTCTATCGCCCCTAGGGGGCGATATCGCCCACTTTGGGAACCACTGATCTAGAAGAAATCTCATAGCTGCAAAAATAGGAAAGCTGTTGTTGCAACTTGAAAGGTATATATATATGCTTCACATGCATATATACAGGTGGCTTCTGCCCAATTTTCCAGTTTGGTTTTCCACTTGGTTTAAAATTAATCTCGGCATAATTATATTGGTTAATAAGTCAGACATTGTCACTAAGCATTGAGTACAAAAGTACATTGCTTAGCAAGTCAGAACTAAAGTACTGTAACGATTGCACACAACATGTACATTGCTTAATAAATTTACAGATAAAGTACATTAATAATCATTTTAATTTCAGGTTCACAGAGTTTGTATTAAATAGCTTCATATAATAGACTAAATTATGCCTAAAACTGAATTCAAACCTTATGACTTCATATTTGCTAAAGTTAAGGGATACCCACATTGGCCTGGCAGGGTAAGTCTTCTTATGTTCTTGCCAAGTCATGAATATCTTTCTTATTGCTATGTTCATGCCACCTCATGATTATCTTATTATGTTCTTGCCAAGTCATGAATATCTTGCTTATTGCTATGTTCATGCCACCTCATGATTATCTTATTATGTTCGTGCCAAGTCATGAATATCTTGCTGCAGATTGAGCCGTTTGAGCCTGACCCAAGTGGCAAGCCTCCAAAGAAATACCCCATCATATTTTAAGGCACCCGTGAGACGTGAGTACTGCAGCTCTGTAAATAGAATGATAGTTGATATAAAATTTAGATATGTATATTATATATACCAATTCACAGGGTGTTGGCATTTATTGTTTGTTTGTGTGCATTTGTTTGTCTGGACTTGAACAAATGTGCACAAAAACTTGAGGTTTGTGTGAACTTTATCGGTATACAAATGTATTTTTATATTTGTGTGGCCAAGTTAACAACAGAAAAATTGAAGAATTTCTCAGAGTTATCCACAGTGTCACTGCATTGTCAGCCCCATTGTTATTGTTCAAGTTTTATCCTCATGATTCAATTGGGTTCTAATGGGCAACAATTTACTGAAATGTTGCTTCTGCCGATTCGTGCCTAGTCTTATCAACTGATGGTAATTATGTTGCCTGCATACCTGCTTACCATTTGCAGGGGCAGCCTGAAGGCAGAAGACCTTGTCCTGTACCACGAGAACAAGGAGCAACTCGGCAAGCCCCAGAAGCACAAGTTCTACAATGAGGGATTGTGGGAGATTGAGAACAATCCCGACTGGGACCCAAACATTGTGAGTGTATCACAGAAAATTAATGGGTAATATTGTCCAAATAGTGACACTTTCAGCACATAACACTGATGCACTATTTTGCCAGGCCAGACTTGATGGGCCAAATAAGGGCAAACATTGTGTTGATATTGGGACAGAGTCTCACATTTCTCTGGGTGTAAAATTTGTGAAGCAGTATTTTTGTATCTGGTGAGCTGTGATATCTGTGATGTACTCAGTATCACAGCTGTGTTGGAGTAACACCCCCGGTGAGCTGTGATATCTGTGATGTACTCAGTATCACAGCTGTGTTGGAGTAACACCCCCCTCTGCCCCAAGTAACCCCCATGTCAGCATCACAGCTGTGTTGGAGTAACACCCCACTCTGCCCCCAGGTAACCCCAGCGTCAGTATCACAGATGTGTAGGAGTAACACCCCCCTCTGTCCCCAGGTAACCCCCGTGTCAGTATCACAGCTGTGTAGGAGTAACACCCCCCTCTGCCCCAGGTAACCCCTGCGTCAGTATCACAGCTGTGTAAGAGTAACACCCCCCTCTGCCCCCAGGTAACCCCCGCGTCAGTATCACAGCTGTGTAGGAGTNAGTATCACAGCTGTGTTGGAGTAACACCCCCACTGCCCCCAAGTAACCCCCATGTCAGTATCACAGCTGTGTTGGAGTAACACCCCCCGCTGCCCCCAGGTAACCCCCGCGTCAGTATCGCAGCTCGCCCACACGCTCACCCCCAAGACGCCCTCGTCCACCAAGAAGACGCCGTCCACCACAGCGTCCACGGGGACGGCAGACGAGGCGTCCAACAAACGCAAGCGCGTGGACGCGCCTGAAGGCGGGGAGCCGCCCACCAAGAAGGCCGCCAAGGTGACGTACATCTTTGTTGTCCTTCCCCCTTCACTGTCCACCGCCCGAGGTGACATACATCTTTGTTGCCCTTCCCCCTTCACTGTCCACCGCCCAAGGTGACATACATCTTTGTTGCCCTTCCCCCTTCACTGTCCACCGCCCAAGGTGACGTACATCTTTGTTGTCCTTTCCCCTTCACTGTCCACCGCCCAAGGTGACGTACATCTTTGTTGTCCTTCCCCCTTCACCGTCCACCGCCCAAGGTGACGTACATCTTTGTTGTCCTTCCCCCTTCACTGTCCACCGCCCAAGGTGACGTACATCTTTGTTGTCCTTCCCCCTTCACTGTCCACCGCCCAAGGTGACGTACATCTTTGTTGCCCTTCACCATCCACCGCCCTAGGTGACGTACATCTTTGTTGCCCTTCCCCCTTCACTGTCCACCGCCCAGGGTGACGTACATCTTTGTCGCCCTTCCCCCTTCACAGTCCACTGCCCAAGGTGACATACATCTTTGTCACCCTTCCCCCTTCACCGTCCACCACCCGCCCCTTTCCTCCCTAGCTTGACATGCCCCGTATTAATATTAAGCGCAAGCGTCATGATTACATTCCTCTAAATTATTGCAAATTGTGACCATTTTATGTATTGCATATGATGGCATCATGGCATAATACGGTGGCATCAGGGCAAAATACGGTGGCATCATGGCATAATATGGTGGCATCATGGCATAATTCGGTGGCATCATGGCATAATACGGTGGCATCATGGTAGAACAATCCCGACTGGGACCCAAACATTGTGAGTGTACTAATTTATATATTAGTGGTCATATAAATTATATATTATAAAACTAATGGGTCGTATTGTTCAAATAGTGACACACTTTCAGCACATAACACTGATGCACTATTTTGCCAGGCCAGACTTGATGAGCTACACAAGTGCAAAAATTGTGTCAGCATTTAGACAGAGTCTTGTACATTTCTCTGGGTGTAGAATTTGTGAAGCAGTATTTTTGGATCTATGATGAGCTGTGATATCTGTGATGTATTCAGTATCACAGCTGTGTTGGAGTAACACCCCCCACTGCCCCCAGGTAACCCCCGCATCAGTATCGCAGCTTGCCCACACGCTCACCCCCAAGACGCCCTCGTCCACCAAGAAGACGCCATCCACCGCAGCGTCCACGGGGACGGCAGACGAGGCGTCCAACAAACGCAAGCGCGTGGACGCGCCTGAAGGCGGGGAGCCGCCCACCAAGAAGGCCGCCAAGGTGACGTACATCTTTGTTGTCCTTCCCCCTTCACTGTCCACCGCCCAAGGTGACGTACATCTTTGTTGTCCTTTCCCCTTCACCGTCCACCGCCCAAGGTGATGTACATCTTTGTTGTCCTTCCCCCTTCACTGTCCACCGCCTGTCTCTTATACACATCTAGATGTGTATAAGAGACAGTTGCTATGTTCATGCCACCTCATGATTATCTTGCTCATTGCTATGTTCATGCCAACTCATGATTATCTTGCTCATTGCTATGTTCATGCCACCTCATGATTATCTTGCTCATTGCTATGTTCATGCCACCTCATGATTATCTTGCTCATTGCTATGTTCATGCCACCTCATGATTATCTTGCTCATTGCTATGTTCATGCCACCTCATGATTATCTTGCTCATTGCTATGTTCATGCCACCTCATGATTATCTTGCTCATTGCTATGTTCATGCCA